TTTTGGTTCTGTTTTCTGTCATCGGTTTTATTTCCATTTTGTGTTATTCTGGTTGTTTTTGATTGCATTTTAGTTCTTAGGTATTTGTTTGCCCTCTTGTGTCGGTCTCCTTTTCCTAGCTCTTTCCAAGACTCCTCTGTTCACACCTGCTCCAAATCTGCTGATTAGCCTGGTCTTTGTTTCTCTCTCCCATATACAGTATATACACACCTCCTGCTCAGTCACTGTGACTGGTTTGAACTGTCAAGTTAGGTGTTGGAAAGAGGCCTGAAGTAGGAGGAGTATGGTTAACAGCAGGCTGATCTGGGGAGCTTTGAAACCTCTGGATCTGATTCACAAGAAAGTTAATTTGTTACGAAAACATGATTAAAAACTTGCCCCATTGTGCAGCCAGTTGTTTATCCTCCAATTGTAACAATGCCAGTTGCTCCTCCTGTGTATTGAGCTGTTGCCCCAAACTGAGTCGAAGTCTGCTGGTTCTATTTCTGGCTGGCTTGTATTGTCAAGTAGGGTGGAAGTATGAAGAGGACCCAAATGCAGACACTGAAGCTGAAGGTGGTTACTTGCAGATTTAATAACAAAAAAGGTAACAGAAGCAAAAATCCCAAAACATGAATCCACAAAAACTGAGAACCAGGAATACTCACAACAAGGGGGCAAGGAATTTACGACACAACAGCAACAGTGACTGAGCAGGAGGTGCATATATGGGAGAGAAACGGAGACCAGGCTAATCAGCAGATTGGGAGCAGGTGTGAACAGAGGGTTCTAGAAAGGAGCTACGGAAAAGGAGACTGACACAAGATCGCAACAGAGGACAAACAAGAAATGCCTAAGAAATCAAATATGGTCAAAAATAACTAGAATAACACAAAATGGAAACAAAACCAATGGAAACTCAAAGATAACACCTAAACAGAACCAAAACCATGATATGCTGTTCCATCTGTAATACACCTAAGACTGTAAATCCCAGCTTTTCATTTCCTAAGAGAGAGTTGTAGCCTATGTCACGATCATCAACCCAATTTGACTTAGAAATCTGCTTCTCTTGCTTTCCTGCAGATATTTATGTCTGAACCTCAGCCCTTTGAGATAAACACACACTAGATGTTGCTCAATTGAATAAATCTGCAAATGTTGAGATTTTGTTTTGGATACAAAAAAATAACAAATTAAAAGCCAAAAACAAAATAAAGCTGTATTACTTTATCAAATAATGCTGTGGAACAGTTGTTACTATGGATATTGGCTGAATCTATATATAATGAAACCATATTCACCTTCATTGCACTGTAATTCATATGAATATGGTGCCGTTTTTGAGAGGATTACCATTAGTAATTGCTGATGTACACATTAGGAACATAACTGTCTCTTGAATGCAGTGGCTCTAAATGAAAATATACAATCAACACCTCACAAAATACCAGCAAAAAAAAGGATTTTTGAATATTTTTCCACTGTAATCATGGCTGTGGGGTCACACTAAAACAACCTGAGTTATTATGTCTCTTTACAATAAAACTGGTGGGTCCTCTGTGGTAACAGGAAGTTCATTCAGGAGATTCATGCTTACTGTCCTTGTCAGCAACATTGTCTCCCACTTTATTTTACAGTACTACAGTTAATTACTGAGTAACATGATCCCATTAGAGCGATTCCCCTTTATTAGCTTGGACTCCTCGTTGTGCTCACCAGCCAATAAAATTGATGGCTTAAAAGCTGCATGGCTGCAAGCAGTGGATAATAAACAGCGTTAAGATAAACTGGAAAGACAAAAACATGACAAAACACAAGTAAAGACAAGCAAGAAAGAGTTAAGTGATTTTATGGTTAATAAACTGTCTTTGGAATTGGCAAATTTAAACATCTTGATGAGATCAGATGAGCTTTAGCCTGTTAAATTATTAACATAATATAATCATAGTTAAGAAGTTTTAACAGTTTTGGGTATGTCTACAACCTGATAAAAATAAGTGAGGTTGGAGAAACACTCAACCTTAAAATCACTGTGTATACACTGAAATGCATATAGTCGGAAAAATCACCTGCACTTAAGTTACAAACTTCCCAATTCTTTTGTAACTTTAAGAGAATTAGAATTTTCTGAGTTTTGCAGCATGTTGACATAGTTTAGCAGTTATTCAGAATCAGATTTATTGCGCAGTAGGTTTGCAATTACAAGGGCTGCCATTGTGTGGCGCCCGGGGAGCAATCAGGGGTTAAGGGATTTGGTCAGGAGGTTTTGGTCAGGAACCCAGACTGGGGATTGAACTGGGTACTTGCAACCTTCTTAGAGCATAAGTGGACCATTCTAGACACTAGGCCAACACTCCTATATAAAATACTCCTGTATCAAACATACAATACACTATATACTATATATAGTACATAGCTATTTACTATATATAACAGTAGACTGTGCGTTAATGTAAAATGTCTGGAGGTCTGGAGACGCTATATTGGTGCAGCTTCTAGGTCCTGAACAGGAGAGGTAGAGAGGTAGTCTCAGTGTCATGGGGGTCTCTGGGCTTGTTGATAAGGCTGGTAGTGGATGGGAAGAAACTGTTCTTGTGGCGTGAGGTTTTGGTCCTGATGGATCGCAGCCTCCTGCCAGAGGGAAGTGACTGAAAAAGTTTGTGGCTAGGGTTGAGAGGGATCAGCCACAATCTACCCTGCACACCACAGAGTCCTGGAGGCGTACAGATCCTGGAAAGGACTCTAAACTCTGAAAGCCTTTTATAAAGCTTTATGAAGGACCATTTCCTAGCCATGAGTGGACTTCTCGCTATTTGGGGATGGAGCACACTGCAAAAACAATATAGAAATAAGTGAAAATGTCTTAAATTAAGTGTATTTACCCTTAATTTGAGTAGGTAAATAAGATAAATTGCCAATTGAATGGGGATTTTTACTCTTAAAGTAAGGTAATTAGATATTATACACTTGAAATAAGACAAATAAATATTTTATTTCTTGTTTTAAATGTAAACTGTCTTGTTTCATTGGCAAAGTGTCACGCTTATCTCCTCAATTCAAGAAAAAATTTACTTATTTTAGGAAAACATGACTTATCTTGATTTTGATTTTTTCCAGTGCAGATTCACATTTTTTAACAACCCGGAAACTCTTAAGCCATATCCTGCAGTAAGAATCAGCTGAACAGTAGGTCATCAAGTTTCTAGTAGTTGCTGTGGGGCGGGGATGGTCGCGAAAAGGAACTCATACAGAAAACATTTTCAGAGTTTATCATATCATTCCCCAAAACTATGGAGCTCGTCATTTTATTCTGGTTTTATGTGATTTTTCATGGCCCAGGGATGTATTAAACACCAGATATTTAGTAAAAATATCTTTCCCTGTAATCTCTACAAACATAGCATGTAGTAATCTTTGTTAATTTTTTGAATAATTCAATTTTAATTCTAAAATACTTTATTAATCCGAAGAGGGAGATTAAAGAGTGTCTGTGGACAGAAATGTCCTTGTCTTGCCATAGATTCTAAATGCATATTTAGGTCTGTACTTTGACTAGGCCATTCTCATGAATTACGCTTTTCAATGTAGCTCTGGTCATATGTCTGAGGTGTATTCCAGTAATTTGCTGGAATAGACCTTGGCCTGCCAACTGAATCTCACACTGAGCTTTGGATTGATTCAGCTCCTCAAAAGTGACCACTGGTCCTTTAGCCACGTATCCTCTCTTGTCAGTTTAAATGGTCTCAGTTGGTTTGTAATAGTGCCAAAGTTTCAGATTTTAGCTGATTATTGCTCTTTCATCTCATGAAATTGCATGAAGTTTGTTGATCTAAAGAAGTCTAATTTTGGATTCTGTTGTGTTTTGTGTGTGTTGATAGGAGAGAGACCTAAACAGGTCTCAGGTTACAGTAATATGCTTAGGCAACACTTCCAGCACCCAGGACAGGCTGCTCTGAAAAGGCTTGAACTATGTCCAAACAGCTCTCACGCGTCATGCTTGGGAACTCTATGATCACACCTCTCCTACACAACACAGGGCAGAATGCAGCCCCCCCACCATGCACCACACAGAAATAAACGCAGATTTGGTCATGCCACCTTCAGCATTAACATGCAACAGCAGCTGCAGAATTCACGTAGGTAGGCATGCATTATCTAAACAACCACTACTCTGTTAAGTGCTTCATCTGCATACCCATATACATAGAAAGACATTTTAGGAAAAAAAGCTTCAACAAAAGCTGCAGCCATCATAAAAAAGTCAGCTTAACTCTTCACTCAATTAACAAGCAAAACAACAGCAAGGAAGTGGGAAAATCACATCTACTCCCACGCAGGGAGAATGGCACTTCAGTTTTAAAGTTATGTAACAGTCCACTGGTATGAGATTACATTTAATGTGCCCTCAGAGGGGAGACAAGTGATGATGAGCCTGTGAAAAAGCAGGTCTGAGTGGATAATTGATCGCTGGCCTTCCTGGTGAAGGTGCGGCTCTGACAAATAAAAGTGGTTAATAGGGAAAACATTTCTCATAGAGACTTAATACAATTAGCATTCTTTTTTTTCCATCCTTCTTTAAATCTTTCTGATTCAAAAACATTTTGCGAGCCAAATGAAGCCCTGACTATCATAGGCTCATGTGATGGAAATGTCAAATTAGTTAATTGGCAAATTATATAATAGGAGCGCAATTACGCACGAATCCAACTGAGCTGCATTGTTTACCAAGACGTCCCCTGCTGACCGGAAACTACGTTAAACAACAACCGCCAACGCGCATTGAACTTGAGAAGAGAAAGAGACCTTAAACAGGAGGAGGAAAAAAGAAAAAAACCCTGGAAAACACGCACTATAAAGCCTGCAGGCATTTGGCATGTGCCAAGTCTTCACAAACTCATCTTGGATGTTTGTTTTTCTCACTTCTAATCTGGGCAAACAGCCGTATTTGCTTTTTTTTCTCTCTTGATCAGCGAAAAGAAGAAAAAAAAAATCCAAATCCTGCCTCCAGAATGTCTTACCTTGTCTCTGAAGGTAGGAAACAGGTGGTGTGGAAAGCTTTCTGCTGGTTTATTTAAGTCTTCCAAGAAAGATGAGGCGCTGAGCGTCTGAGTCCGAGCACCATGCTGCGGGAGAGGAAAAATGCGCACAACACTGGTGACAAGGCGGTGGAGCGCAGATTTTTTTTTAATTCTATCTGAGCATCTGAAGTGATACAGTCACAGCAGAGACACTGCATGTGTGTGTTGCCCCTCTCCCGCCTCTATGACTCTGATAAAAACACAAACCAATCCCATTTACAATTATGGCATTTCTTTTATGCAGTAAAGAGGGCGCTACATGTTTATTCAGCACAAAAACAGTTCATCAAATGCAGAAAAACAAAAAGCAATAACAAAAACCATACAGATAATTATTCTGATTTAAATTAAATAAGGGACTTTTCAATCCAAGTATTTGGATTGGACTGCAAACAAAAAGCACCTTATCATCAAACTTTCTATCCAAATGGTTTGTTTTTACACTGAAAAAGATATGAAACCGCTTTTGGCATTTACTTAATCATATTTAGTTACTTTAACACAATTGTTTTATGTCCTACCCTGCTAACATGAAACAATTGTGTTAAAGTAACTAAATATAATTAAGTAAAAGGCACAAAAAATTGCATTACTTTTTTCAGTGTAGGTTTAGACAAAGGGGGTATTTGAACCAAATTAAAACATTTCCCAGTCCTCTTTAATAACTTTCACCGATGTTGTTACACGCGTCACCCAGCCGGAAGTGGACTTTGACGCACGTTGTTTTTATTTTTTGGGCTATTTGAGAATGCCTGCATCATACAGATATAGTTACAGGATTCAGGCGGGAGCGAATGTGTGATTCCGTACACTCCACTAGATGGCGCCAACGGCCGTGTTAAATAACAGCGCTACTGCAGGTGATGGTACAATAATGATGGTTTACATACCAAAACACCCAAAGTAATTATTATGTTTAAACCCATAACTCATTGGACCAATTATTAAGATGCAACAAATAACACGTTTTTGGTATTAGATTCAGAGTCTTTTTTTATTATTATGGCCTTCCATTCTCACAAAGTGATCATGGATTACAAAAAAAGTTAAAAACAATCCACTGGACTTTGTTTCCAAGTTTGAAGACATTTCGCTTCCCATCCAGGAAGGTTTTTTTAATTCAAAATGTCAGAAATAGCATTGAGTTCAATGCTTTATAGAGTGGACCAATGTAAAGCCTTGTTTTGGCTTAGAAATATACAAATTGAACCTAATGAGCGGGTTACCACTTTGGATGAGGGGTCATTTTGTTTCTTTGTTAGCCTGTAATACCAGAAATCTGTCTATGTCTCTGAAAGGGGGGTTGTTAAAGGGAGTTGTTGGCCAGGCTGAAGAGGAGAGGTGCTCCGGTCACCTATAATGGGGTAGGGGTGACAATGTTGGGGGAAGGAATCAACTCAATCGTCCACCCCCTCTTGTTCTTTTCTTCCTAACACAGATGGCTTCCTTCACACCCCTCTCAAACCACCTATCCTCTCTGTCCAAAATGTGAACATTCTGGTCCTCAAAAGAATGTCCTCTGTCCTTGCAGGTCTTACAGCTGTTTATGAGCCAAACCTGTCCTCTTCTCTGGTCATCATGTCAAGATGAAATATGGACACTGGTTCCCTATGTCCAAAAACCATGATCATGGCATATGGCACAACAGTCTATAAGGTTTAGATGTACCGCAGAGTCTTGTCCGATGGCCGCTCTTCTGTGTTGACCCATGTGTCTGTGGACAGGTCGTTTGGTTTCTCCAATATAAAGATCAGAGCATTCCTCACTACATTGAACTGCATTCACCACTATGCTCATATTTGGTGTGGGGTTTTGTTCTTAGGATGCACTTGCCTCTGTTTAAGGCTCTTGTTTGGTTTGAAATGTACTGGGATTTTGTATTTGGAGAAAGTCCTCTTGAGTTTTTCAGAGACTCTAGCAACATATGGGTTGGCGATGTTTTTGCATGTTTTGCATTTAATCTTCTCACAGTTATGTTCTGCTGAGCGGTCTTTTGGATTTCCTTGCTGATTTGACAAACGCCCAGTTTGGGTATCCACAGGTTTGAGGAGCACCTTTGATCTGTTTGTGTTCTTTGTGCTTCCCTTCTGATCATTAATTGCTTTGACTGTCAGCCTTCAAATGCTTGAAAAAATATTTCATTAATCCCAAAGGGAAATTAAATGTAGGATTTTCTGCCAGCTCCAGGTGTTGTTTGCATTCAGAATTTTGATTATTCTTCTCAGGGGGTCTGTAATTCATCTTAAATCCAGATTCCTTCTTCTGCACATTCAATAATCCTGGGTTTATTTACCTGTTTAACTTTCTCTTCTAACATGGTGTTATTCTCTCACATGGGCTGTAAAATAGCATTGTACAACATGCCGTGCAAAAAGCAGGGCCGGAGAGAGAATTTAGTTAGATAATTTTCTAAATTCATCTGTTTATCCAATAACTTAATCAGCAATGATTAGAGAATTTGTGTCAAAATTCCCTTTTATTTTACTTATACTGTCCACAGAAAACTGCTTATATTAACTTCACTATAACATAGTTTTTATATCTGGAACAGATTAAGCAGTTATATTCAAGAGGCTTTCTCCAAAGTCATTCACTCGCAAAATGAGCAGTGAATCTATACATATAAATATATATATAATAGCCTGAGAGATGCAGTTAAGAACTGAAAAAATAAGTGGACCGTGCACTTGGGTAATTTTCTCACATAATGAGAGCCTCAGCTTTTGGAGCTCCTCAGATGGAGGTCAAATGCTTTTTCGCAATTGCTTTAATAGAATCCAGACCCCAGTGATTAAACCCCATCTGCTTATAGAGTTGTGTTTCTGCCAGGACCACCGCAGGTTATCAGTGCATATAAAATAGTTTTAAAGAAATTTGGTCAAGAAATACTGAAATCTGATCACCAATGTGCAAAGAAGACATTATGGATTATGATGAAAGCTTTAGAAATACAGAAAATAAACAAAAACACAACCTCAGAGGCCTCCAGCCGCAAGCATCAATCGTTGTGTATTTTTCCAGGTCAGCCTTAGAAATGAGATTTAAAATTTCAGTTGGTCATATCTGGTTTTAAAATCACTTCCATGACTCAGTAATTGCTCTTAATCCAAAATACTGTGGGAAATATTTGTTGTTACAGGTATTGATTTTCTTTAAACCCAGAAACACAAACTATAACAAGAATCTTAAGGAAAGTTACTTAGCAAATAAAGACAAAGGAAGAAGTTTTATATTTTCTTTGCTATCCAAGGTGGACCGTTTAGGGTATTTTTAATGTACTATCTGAAGCGTTAACTTTGTTAGATTGGTTGTTTAATATAATTTTACCCAGCTCTACTCAGGTAATATTTATTTCTCAATAACTGAATTGTTTAGGACTTAAATGGGTTGATTTAAATCTAAATTTAATTGGATTCCATTTATTGAATAAAAAATGTACTTGTTTTTTGTGGTGCCTTAAATTTGGCTTTTTTGTAGAGTAGCACCATAAACAGCTAAGCAACATCTGTATAAAAAACACAACTTTTTTTCCCCCACTGTCTGATGATTCATAATCTTTTTAGTTTAAGATTAGTTAGGATAACTGAAATAATTGCTATATGCATGATCCCACAGTAATTAAGAAAGCCCAGAAAACCAGGCTGTTTGGTTTATTATAATAATGAATAATAATAGAATTTAATTGATCTTGCATTGGAGAAATTTACCTCTGCATTTAACCCGTCCCCTTGGGGAGCAGTGGGGGTTAAGGTTCTTGCTCAGAGACCCAGAGTGGCAGTCTGTAGGAGCTCTATGCTCTAACCACTAGGCTGCCACTCCGTTCCATTCACTACTATGGTTGTATATAAGCAACACAGAAAACACCCTGATTACTGGTGCGACATCAAAGGAGCAGCTTGGATGCCAGGAAGAGGACAGGACGTTGATTCAGACAACAATAGGCCTGTATAAACAGTGTGGGTGTGTCCTGCTATGATGCTCAGTAGTAATAAACAGATTCTTTGTCCTGTGATGTTTCAGAACAGCATCAACTTAAGAATACAAACAAAACTGTAATCCACACAGCACCTGAGAATTGACATACGGAAAAAAAAAAAAAAAAAATTGCAATGAAATACTGATTTGCGAGCATAAAGTACTTAATTGTCTAAATGTGGTAAGAAGACATGGACAGGAGGCGAACAGGACACTCGCTCAGGTATTTCATGTTTTGTTGCAGTGTTTTGGAAAGTGATGTCCAATGTGACTGTCTTATTCTATTCTTGTCCTTATCTTTTCCAAATGTCCCACATTTAGACTATTACTGAAATAGATGTTTAACACTCTATTACAATAAGTTGCTGATGTCTCACCCAAACGTTACAGGAACTACAGCCCTGCAAAAAGAAGACTTCTCAAGTAGAGCATGAGGTTTAAGTACTTCCTGACCAAACATCAGTATTTTGTAGGAATGAATTAGTATTCTTTGCACATACTTTACTGTGTATACATTATCAGATGTTAGGAAATGGTTGCTTATTTACTTTCCCATTTGAATTCGATTATTTTATTGTCATTTTTTTTGTACAAAGCTTGCTACGTTCTTACCGTATCAAGTGACCAGAGAATCAGAGCAAGAGGAATCACCTATATTATTGCATCTTTTCCTATTTCTTATATGAAACCTAAATTCTTAGGAACAGATCTTGTAATTTTTCAAATTGATATCAGAATAGCCACCAATTAAATACTAGGGTGACAGAAATGACCCAGACCTCAGTGTTCATAAAGGAGGCTAAGAAGGTGGAACTTTACCTTTGATCATCTTTATAAGCTTACCATCCATATGTTATGATATATTTTTATGTGCATTTGTAAAGGGAAGCAAGTGAGTTTGAATGAGTTTGCTTATATACAACAGCATTATAATAAGCTATTGAGATTGTGTTATGCTACTTTTTTTCTGTGGACCAGATAAAAATTTTTATAGAAACTCATCTGGTTAATCAGAAAAAACAAAATGAAAACACAACATAACCACTCTGTATATTTCAGTTCAGTAACATCTTGCTTGTTTTGTTAATTAAAA